CGAGGAACACCTCCAGAGGTTGCGTGCTGTTTTTCTCAAAATGCGGGCTGCCAATTTGAAATTTAAACCGCAGAAGTGCCATTTGCTTCGTGAATCAGTGCGGTATTTGGGTCATATTGTTGGACGCTCGGGGATATCCACTGATCCCGCCAAAACGGAATGCGTCAGCTCCTGGCCAACTCCCACCTCGGTGGGAGAGGTCAGGAGTTGCATTGGGTTCGCGTCGTACTACCAACGGTTTGTGGCTGACTTCGCTACGATCGCGAAACCATTGCATGCCTTGACGTCCAAGGGAGTCAGGTTTCATTGGGGGCCGGAGGAGGAGGCTGCTTTTCGCGCCCTCCGGAATGCCCTGGTGGGGGCTCCGCCGTTGAATTACCCCGATTTCTCACAACCCTTCTTGCTCGATACAGACGCAAGTAACACGGGCATTGGGGGGCGTGCTGTCCCAGCTCATTGGTGGCGTAGAGCATGTGGTGGCTTACGGTAGTCGGGTACTGTCTCCGGCGGAACAACGGTACTGCGTTACCCGTCGGGAATTATTGGCAATTGTTTATTTCGTTCAGCAGTACCGCCCGTATCTGTACGGTCGACGTTTCACCGTCCGTACAGATCATGCGGCTCTGCAGTACGCCCTGCGGGTTCAACAACCATCGGGGCAGTTGTCTCGATGGTTGGAGATTCTCCAAGACTACGACTTTGTCACCACATATCGTAAGGGCGTCCGCCACACGAACGCTGATGCCCTGTCGCAGTTGCCACCCACTTCGGAGTGCGCTTGCCTCTTGGGTTCGGGGCGTTGTAGGCCCCCGAACGTGACCACCGATTCGGTCCTCGTGGCCGCCGCCGATGCGCCTTCGGCTTCGGGTCCTATCGAGCAAGAAGGGAGGGATTCGTTGCTGGGGTTGTCGGTTGCGGAGTGGGGATGCCTCCAAATGGAGGACACCTTCCTCTTCGCTCTGCGCCGTCGCACCGGGGGGGTTGGTCAGGGGGTGGCGAACGTTGACTCATGGGGGTTGTTCCAGGGGCTTTTAATGCACTGGGATGGAAAATCCAGCCGCCAACGGCTCGTGGTGCCTGCAGCATTGAGGGGTAAGGTGGTATGGGCTGCGCATGAGCGGCTCCTGCACTTAGGGGTTCACAAGACCTTTGCCATGCTCCAGCTCGATTTCTTCTGGCCGGGCATGGCAAAGGACGTGGGGGATTTCCTGGGGTCGTGCACGCAATGCGCGCAGCGGAAGCCACCAGTGAGGGGGTCCAACCCTCCGCTGCAGTCCATAAAGGTTTCCCGGCTTAACGAGCTCGTTGCTCTGGATATTCTCGGGCCATTTCCCGCTACACCCAGGGGAAATAGGTATTTATTGACAGGGGTCGAATACTTCACGAGATGGCCCATGGCCTGGCCCCTGGCCAACCAGTCGGCAGCAGCCATCGCGGAGGCCTTTGTCCAGGGCTATGTCCTCGACAAGGGTGCTCCGGAATGGCTGCTGACTGACCAGGGTAAGAATTTTTTGGGGAAACTCCTCCGCGAGGTGTGCGACCTCTTGGGTACGGAGAAAATTCGGACCTCCCCGTATCACCCACAAACTGACGGGATGGTGGAACGTCTGCATCGGACTATCACGTCCATGCTGTCCCAGCAGGTATCGTAATCCCAGACAGATTGGGACCTTCGCATTGCCGGTGTGTTACAAGCCTACAGGATGGCCCCGCATGCGGCCACCGGATTTTCCCCTTTCTTTTTAATGTATGGCCGCGAGGCTAACCCCCCTGTGACGACCCAGCTGAAGCTGTCGGCGCCTCAGGCGAAGTCTACATTGTCCGAACACGTTAAATTTAACATCGGCAAATTATCTGAGGCGCGGGAAGCGGCCGTGCAAAATTCTGAACTCAGCCAGAAGGCGAACGAGAGGCTTAGGCTGGGGCGGGTACATGTGTTCAAATGGAAACCGGGGGACGGCATGGTTGCACTGTCCCCAGGTGCCACTGGCGACCTCGTCAAAGTTGGTACGGCCGTGGCGGGGGCCCGTGGAGGTCGTACAGGTCTTGCGGCCGCAATGTGTTCGCGTCAAATGGAGGAGGCGTCGGTGGTACGTGCACCCCTCGAGGTTGAAACCGTTCATTGCGCCGCCCCGTGGTTCGCACACACACACGCATGGCCAAACGTGTGAGGGGTCCGCCGACTCCCCGACGTCGCTGCTTTCGCCTAACCTGACATCAACTGTTCCATCTCCAGGTGCAACAGGAGTGACGGGTCCACGACCGCCAACCCCTCCCGGGGGGTCGGGGGTCACTCGGCAGCGAAGCCAGACTCTCTCGCACCCGGACCGTCAACAACCGCCACTGAGCGTGCCAGGACGGGCCCTTGTGACGGGCCCGCCGCGAGAACGCGCGCCAAAACACGCAGACTTTTGTGAGGTCGGCCGTTGGGGGGCCCTTGCGGACGGTGGGGGGAGGCGTCCGGAGCGTGTGTATATATGTTGGTTTTGCGGAATGGGGTATTTATTCGGGGGGGTGCGTTGGGTTATTTTTTTTCTTCCTGTTTCCTGTTGTTGTTGTTATGGTTGTCATTGTTCTTGTTAAAATTACGCGAGGCACACACGGTTTTGGGGAGGGATGCACCTTTATTCTGATTTTTTTTGCAGCCGGGGACGGCTGCGAGCTATACAGGGGGGGGGGGGTGATGTAGAGGTGTAATTGTGTATGGGCACGGATGGCTAACAAACACAAGGGGCGTGGTTATGGCCGTACACAGAGGAGGTGCTCACACCGACGTTCGCACCTGCATCCCCCACGGGCCCCTCCCGGGGGCCGAGTACTATAAAAGGTGGTGAGCCGGAGGGCTCGAGGTCGAGTATTAGCTTAAACCAGCGAAGACTGAAGACCAGCTAGAATAGGCCCCGGAGCTCCCCTGGCTCGCTGTCCTTGTCAGGGCCGACCAGGGCAAGCCGGTGGCGTGGCCCCGAGAGGCCAGACTGACGTTCTTATAAGAGCCGGTCTGGAGACCGGCTCTTATACACATACACAACGAGCGTAAACAATGTACCCTGCACAGCGTATAACAACCGCCATTCGCCACTAAGTGGCGGTCACGGCACCATGGCGCTTGTGCCAGGCTATGTGCACGGGGTAGACCCAGGTGCCATGGGTCGACTCACTCAGTTGACTGGCCGATGCACCACCTGTACCCCCGACTGTGCCAACACAGTGTACACACACAGTTTGTACATACACAGTGTACACACACACAGTGACGTCACCACTCATTAAGATATTCAACCCCCCCTCGCGACCAAGGTTTTTGACTGGCGGTTCATTAACATAGTGTATTCATGAATGCCGTCGCTATTTCATTGCGACGGGTTCAGCAGCCAAGCCCAATGAGCCCACATGGGCCCGGCTTATTAACATAATTTATCAATTACACTGCCGCTCTTTGGGGGAGGGGATTGTGTGAACCCCGTAAATGACGTCTTGTCACCTTCTGCTGCCGCGTGACGTCACGATATACGAGGAAGCTCCTGCTCTGCGCGCGCTCACTGAGAACCGAGGTGAGAAGTTCACATGGTGGTTGTTGGTGTCATGGTGGTTGTTGTTGTTTACCCAGGTAGAGCCTCGCTCCGTCTCGTAGGGATATCAATTGAGTAGCAGCGAGTATTGAATCGGTGTCCAGGTTGGAACATTACAGCGCGGGGCCTAGCGATGTGGGGGCTTGCCTCCTGCCCTCGCCTGATTGCATTTGCTTTAATTCTCTGCTTAAGTTTAATTTGTCTTCACCTGGCTCACGACTTTGAAATTTTGTTTCTTTTAAATATTTCTACAGTTTTTATTTTACCAGGCCATGCCCACTTGAGCTACACCGCTCTTTTTCAGAAGCGACCTGCCCAAAACAAAGTGGCTTATCAACGTGTGGAAATGTATATCGGTCAAATACTCTAAACGCGTGGCGATGTTGACTCTTAATGTGGAGGGAAAAACTGGAGGATCTGGGGTAAGATCCACGCGACCACGGGGAGAGAGACACGCAAACTGCAAATATACAGCAGGAGTCGGGATCGAACCCACCACCTCCTGTATTCCAGGAGAGGCAGTTAACATCTCCCAGCCACCATGGTGCTCACTCGAGTACATGACCACAATGAGTCTCAGCACTCTAATTCAGGAGCGTTCTGCCGAGTTGGTTTTGCTGATGCACCCTTTAGACCGATGAACAACTTTTTTTTAATATTACCAACCAAGGCTCACTGAGCTATTAGATCTTTTTCAGAAGCCACCTGGCCATAGATGATAGCTCAACGAAATGACTTATCACGTGGAAGATTCATCTTCTTGGTTCTTTCGGTAAAGTCACGTAGAAGGGAAGTAATAAAATAATAAAAATAAAACAATTCTCACGACGTTTCGGCCACAACGCAAGTTTTATTATGTTTTATTTTTATTATTTTATTACTTCCCTTCGACGTGACTTTACCGAAAGAACCACGAAGATGAATCCCTGCAGTCACGAAAGCTTTAAATCGAAACGTGGAAGATTATAGCAGCCCGATAATCTAAATGCATGTTTCTAAATGTGGAGGGCAAAATCGAAGGACCCGGAGAAAAATACTCCGAGTGAGTGTACTAATTTGTGTGAGTGTACTCCGTGAGCGTACTCTATGTGTGTGAGTGCACTCTTCGTGTGTGAGTCTGTACTCCGTGAGGGTACTCTGCGCGTGAGCATACTCTGCGTGTGTGTGCCATCTGCGTGTGTGTGTGTCATCGCTCTACCCTACCTTTTACCTTTTAGCAGGTAAGGTAAAAAGCAACGAGTCTACCTTTACCCTACCTTTTACCCTTGTCCCATACAAATTACCCGATTACAGGGAAATTACAGGGATACAACACATGAAAAAGGTTTATAACGATCCATGCTAGCTAGAGCGCTTTATACATATAGAATACTCTCGAATCGGGCGTTGAGGCTGTCGACGACACTGTCCTCTATAACCTCCTTGTCCCAGTCGTCTTGGTCGATGGCGATCTCATCAACAACCTGATCAAGTTTGTCATTGACATCGTACTCGGACAAACGATAGGCAATAAGATCCTACGGCGCTCCGGCCCAGTAAGACGGAACCTTCAGGCAGCCGACGCCGACGTCCCTGACCTCGCTGCCTGGGGTGAGCACGTTGTGCTTCTTGAGGTGGGCTTTCCATCCCGACGCGTTCGTGTGGGTGGAAAACCACTTGTGACAGTGCACGCACTGCCGCTTCCCTTGCTGTACATGGGGATCACCCTCCATCCAATCATGTGTGTGCTCCCACGGGAACGCATGCCGCTGCCTCTTTCGATTGCTGTTCGCAGCAACCCCAAAAATGCCATTGCTGGCATCCTCGACCTCGTCCTCTAGTATCTCTGCCTCAAGAACGTGGACCGTCTCCGTCTGGTCCGACATCAATTATCGCAATTTAAAATGGAGGCCACGGACTGCGCCACAGAGCTTTTAGCGGTTAACAAGGTACTGTAGTTACCGGGTAATTATTCGCGCTACATTTATCGTACCGGGTAATTCTTCTGAGCTACCTTTACCCTACCCTTTACTTTACCCCTTGGCATGTCGAAACATTTTCCGTTTACCCCTTTTACCCGGTAAAAAAAGTAATTTACCTTACCTTGCCGAGGCCTAGTGTGGGGAGCGGGAGTGTCGCGCGTTGACGTCACCTTCAGAGTCGGCGCCTCCCCCTCTGTCAGGCGGGTGACGTCACCAAGAGCAGACCGGAGAGAGGAGTTGAGGACAGCAGCGAGAGGTGCGCTTGGGGCGAGTGTTTGAGAGTGAGTAACGCGTGTAGAGTGTGTACAGAGCAAGGGAGTGAGTGTGTTCATTGTAATTTGTTTGTGTGATATATTGTGTTGTGGTGGCGAGATGTTAACTACCTCACATGGTATGCAGAATGTCGTGGGTTCAATTCCAACCCTGACGCATTTATAATTGGAGTTAAAAAAAAATTCTCTCCACGTAGTGGCATTGATTTTTCTCCACATTTAGAAACATGCATTTAGAGAATTTGGCTGCAATACATTTCCATATCATAAGCCACTGAGGTGAGCTCTCATTTGAGTCCAGGTCTATTCTGAAAAAAAGGCTATACAGCTCAGTGGGCCTCACCTGGTAAAATAATAATAGTTTGTATTCTGTGTTTTGAGGGTTTTCCAATTTAATTTCTTATTTAGCAGTTAAAGATTATGTTTGACTACCAGGAGAAAAACGGAAAACCCCAGTGGAACACCAATGCAGAAGAAGGGGAGAAATTACAAACCTCATACAGCAAGTAACCCCAGTCAAGAATCGAACCCAAGCACAATATTCATCACTGTTCCACACATCTTCTTGGTTCTTTCGGTAAAGTCACGTAGAAGGGAAGTAATAAAATAATAAAAATAAAACATAATAAAACAATTCTCACGACGTTTCGGCCACAACGCAAGCAGCCGTCCTCAGGTGAAAACCAGGTCCGTCGAGGCGACAGAGTCTGAATGAAACAGCACACGGGCTTGGAGCATATATATAAGCTGGGCGCATTGACAAAGGAATTTGCATATCAACAGGAATTTAGCATATTTATGGGAAATGCAGGAATGTAATTAGTACTGCATATGCATGTGCATTATGCAGGATTAACAGCATCAAAGGGAGCTGTAGTTACTGCTGCTGCAGTAGTTGCTGCTGCTGCTGCAGTTTCTGCTGCTGCTGCAGTTGCTGCTGCTGCTGCAGTTGCTGCTGCTGCTGCACTTGCTGCTGCTGCTGCACTTGCTGCTGCTGCTGCACTTGCTGCTGCTGCTGCAGTTGCTGCCTTATCCATTTTAATATAACACTATGTATTATTCTACCCACCCTAATGTGTATCATACTGCTATATGTTTACTGTACAATTACGACACCATACATTACTCTGCACACTGCACCATGCCAGTGAGTGGAACGCGGTCTGAAAGTCACCGTTAACGTGAACACAATCAGTTAAGATCCGAAATGGTTTATTACGTCCTTCCAATGATTGCTAAGCCAGAATCCATCTTCTCGGTTGAAATTGTCTCTGTGTTTGTATATGTGGATCGCCTCATGAACGAATCTCTCATGATAGCCAGATGGCTTGCAGAGAACCTCTGTCTTGGAGAAGTCAATGTCATGTGAGCCCACTGAATTGTAACAGTGATCTGCCACGGCTGAGGTGTTTGTCCTACCGTGTTTCAGGTCTGCCTTATGTTCACGGATGCGGTCCGAGACATGTCGTTTGGTTTCTCCAATGTAACTGCTACCACAGAGGCAACTTAGTTTGTAGACGCCAGGGTACTGTATGTCTGGAACCACATCTTTTACAGACGGGACCAGATCACGGATTTTATGTACTGTGTTGAATCGGACCTGGATCTTGTGTTTAATCAGGATTTTGGAGATCTTTTTTGTGACCCCAGCAATGTAGGGTAAGGTGATGGTCTTGAAAGGCTCCTCAACAGGATCCTTCTTGATGGTTGGAGTGATGGCTTTGCGGATTGTGTAGTCGGAGTAACCATTAGCCTTAAGAGCTTGGCGTACGTGTTTGAGTTCACTGGAAATGTGTTCCTGGTCGGAGATGCATTGGGCTCTATGATATAGAGTCTTGATGAGGGAATTCTTCTGGGATGGATGGTGGTGGGAATCCGGTTTTAGATAAGCATCCGTGTGGGTGGCTTTCCTGTAGACAGAGTGGCTCATTGAACCATCAGGTCTCCTTTTCATTAGGACATCCAAAAAGGGTAGCTTGCCATCATTTTCGACTTCCATGGTGAATCTGATGGCTGGGTGTATGGAATTGATGTGGTCGAGAAATTCAATCAATTCCATACACCCAGCCATCAGATTCACCATGGAAGTCGAAAATGATGGCAAGCTACCCTTTTTGGATGTCCTAATCAAAAGGAGACCTGATGGTTCAATGAGCCACTCTGTCTACAGGAAAGCCACCCACACGGATGCTTATCTAAAACCGGATTCCCACCACCATCCATCCCAGAAGAATTCCCTCATCAAGACTCTATATCATAGAGCCCAATGCATCTCCGACCATGAACACATTTCCAGTGAACTCAAACACGTACGCCAAGCTCTTAAGGCTAATGGTTACTCCGACTACACAATCCGCAAAGCCATCACTCCAACCATCAAGAAGGATCCTGTTGAGGAGCCTTTCAAGACCATCACCTTACCCTACATTGCTGGGGTCACAAAAAAGATCTCCAAAATCCTGATTAAACACAAGATCCAGGTCCGATTCAACACAGTACATAAAATCCGTGATCTGGTCCCGTCTGTAAAAGATGTGGTTCCAGACATACAGTACCCTGGCGTCTACAAACTAAGTTGCCTCTGTGGTAGCAGTTACATTGGAGAAACCAAACGACATGTCTCGGACCGCATCCGTGAACATAAGGCAGACCTGAAACACGGTAGGACAAACACCTCAGCCGTGGCAGATCACTGTTACAATTCAGTGGGCTCACATGACATTGACTTCTCCAAGACAGAGGTTCTCTGCAAGCCATCTGGCTATCATGAGAGATTCGTTCATGAGGCGATCCACATATACAAACACAGAGACAATTTCAACCGAGAAGATGGATTCTGGCTTAGCAATCATTGGAAGGACGTAATAAACCATTTCGGATCTTAACTGATTGTGTTCACGTTAACGGTGACTTTCAGACCGCGTTCCACTCACTGGCATGGTGCAGTGTGCAGAGTAATGTATGGTGTCGTAATTGTACAGTAAACATATAGCAGTATGATACACATTAGGGTGGGTAGAATAATACATAGTGTTATATTAAAATGGATAAGGCAGCAACTGCAGCAGCAGCAGCAAGTGCAGCAGCAGAAGCAAGTGCAGCAGCAGCAAGTGCAGCAGCAGCAGCAACTGCAGCAGCAGCAACTGCAGCAGCAGCAGAAACTGCAGCAGCAGCAGCAACTACTGCAGCAGCAGTAACTACAGCTCCCTTTGATGCTGTTAATCCTGCATAATGCACATGCATATGCAGTACTAATTACATTCCTGCATTTCCCATAAATATGCTAAATTCCTGTTGATATGCAAATTCCTTTGTCAATGCGCCCAGCTTATATATATGCTCCAAGCCCGTGTGCTGTTTCATTCAGACTCTGTCGCCTCGACGGACCTGGTTTTCACCTGAGGACGGCTGCTTGCGTTGTGGCCGAAACGTCGTGAGAATTGTTTTATTATGTTTTATTTTTATTATTTTATTACTTCCCTTCTACGTGACTTTACCGAAAGAACCAAGAAGATGAATCCCTGCAGTCACGAAAGCTTTAAATCGAAATGTTCCACACATGTTTAAAATGTGTCATGTACACATCTATTTTGTCCAAACTTCGAGGTGACTGGAGCCAGATTCAGGCCATTAGACCTCCTGCATTGCACAGAGATCCAGGCGTTATTAGTCCAACTCCCAACACAGGTTTGGCAGCATCTCCTCCCCTATGACCTTATGCAATTCTATGTGGTGAGCAACATTGCCTCATTTCTCGAAACCAAGACATCACAGACATCTGTCCCCTTGGGGCCGATGGCACATGCTTACTTTGAAATTCCTTTCATTGTTTTGGTAATTAGGTTCAAGATGGAAATGATGGACGAGGTTTATTGGCAAGCTGAGGTGTTTCACGTTGTCAAACAATCCATGTCAGAATGAGGAGGCTTACAGCAGCCAAGAGCCGTGCGGTACTGCAAAGATGAGGGGTGATTGTGGGTTGTTGAAGAGATGGAAGCTGCTTCAGCAGCTCGCAATCACAAATTACCACTTAATTTAATCAAAAACGTAACTTGCAGGCCCGAAACTATTAGCATCATTAAGGAAATGAATGGTGGTCAGATTTTCTGGCCCAAAGAAACATTTGTAGATTTAGAGAGTAATTGTGAGGTATTCTAGTTGGGAAAACCCCTCAGCCCAGGCAGCATCATGGGGCAGGATGAGGCTGTGTAGTCTCAGATATCTGGATGGAGGAGCCATCCAGAGCCTGTGAGCAATTATAGCGCCGGGCATAAATGACTTTAAAAAAATAAACTCTTCTAGGAGGGTAGCAGTTTTCAAAGGCTGCAAAACAGAAGATTATTACCACTGCGTGGATCAAATAATGGGATCTCTGGGATTAGAAGAATACCTTTCAAGACCACTGCTTGTTAGATAAGTATTATGCATAACTAGCTTGTTGTTTGCCCATCCTAAGACGGAAGCTGTAATATTAACGAATTTTTTTTAGCATAATTGTATCTTGTGTAAATTTAATGGCAGTGAATCTTGCACAAAAGTATGTCATCAAACACTTCACTGCATTTCAGTGTAGCACTATTAATGGCAGTGAATGTGGCACAAAACAAAGTCATAAAACACTTCACTGCAGTTCACTGTAGCACAATATTAATGGCAGTGATTCTTGCACAAAACTACGTCATAAAATACCGCACTTCATGTCACTGTAGCACTGTATATAACTGACCTTGAATTTATACAAATTCACTGCTCTGATACTTTATTCTCTTCTGCTTTCGGTCGCTGGGGTTTAAATAAATTGGAATTCGATACAATATCTGGAAAATCACCGAGAAATGTCTATTCTACCATAATGTAGAAGTGTAAATTAGACTTACCGTTTGTCTCAAGTGGTGAAGAAATAAAAACACCAAATCCACTGTTGATGCGTATAATTATTTATTTGATTTACTTTCATATAAAGAAATATCAAACTTAAAGCGAATTTGCGAAAAAAATGTTATTTCCGCTCGACTTTCTGCGTGAGTGCAAATATCCACCCGCTCATGAATATTAATGACTTCACGCACGTTACACACAAACAGACATTCTTGGCTCATTATAGTAGGAATTGGCTTGCCATACCTGCTGAGAAGAAGATTGCAGAGCCACATTGTGGTTTCAGGCCAGAGCAGTCCTACACAAATGTCATACTCTCTGTCCATGTGCGAGAGCACATATATACGAATTTTCAGTAGACACTAGATTCCTGTTTTCTAGACTTAATCAACGCATACAGGACCATCACAAGGCCGGGGCTTTGGGCTGTTTATGTTTTCAGGGGCCATTCCCCTGTACTCACTTTAATTAATGATTGTCATGATGGTTGGCAGGACTGGGTACTGCTTCATGACTGGAGTCTGGACAATTTCCTGTTCAACTTAGGGTGTGACAGGTATGCTCTCGAGCCCCTACATTACATTATTTGCTTATGTTGTCTGAGATGCGTTCAATGGCACTATGAGAAGAATTTGCATTAGGTGCAGTTACATTGAGAAGCTCATGGATGGCTGGTTGTAGTCAAAAGATTGTTGCCTACTGGTTCACCATGTTATGTATGCTCATGACCTGGTAATGGCCACTCACTGGAGTGTGCTATTAAGAGGTGGGGTCTTGCATATGTGCCACACAAAAAAGCATCCGTCTTGGTATTTCACGTCATCCAACACTCCACCTCAACTCTCCCTGAGTAATCCAGCAGTTCTGCAGCTATTGCAGGAGCTTCCATTCGAAGCTACTGTACTGATGACCAGATCTCACGTCGCTGCGATAGACTCACTTCAAATTAGTCGAGCAACAAAAAAAATTCTGGCCTGGACTTTTGCAGCAGTATTAGACTAATTTCAGGGTGCTGATTCTAAATCTGATCTCAGATTTGCTCTATCACATCTCATTTTTATGCTATCGGCATACCCCATTTTCATTGATTTTACCCGAAATTAACTCTGTCACTTGTGATTGCAAGTTGTTGCGAGTCAGTGACTGCTTTAGTGTTAAAATATGGTGCTGTATTTTTAGGATAGTGTGTTTATAATATAATTTTATGTGGATATCCACATTTATTTAATATTTTTATTCTGCAGGGCGTGATCTAACAATGACTACAACATCCGAAAGAAGGAAATGCAGTAATGACCCAGATATCTTCTGCTACATCTGTGGCAGCTTCACTTTGCAGGATCAAAGGCGCAACATCAATGCCTTTGTCAAGAAGGTTTATCTTACCTACTTTAAAGTACGACTTGGAGACCAAGACAAAAATTGGGCTCCTCACAAAGTGTGTAAAACCTGTGTTGAAACTTTGCGATCATGGTCTAAAGGAAAGAATGTTAAGCTGAAGTTTGGTGTGCCAATGGTTTGGAGAGAACCTACAAACCATTTGGATAACTGCTACTTCTGCCTTGTCAATGTAAAAGGTTTCAATAAGAAAAACAAAACACTTACAATACCCAGATATCCCATCTGCCAGACTACCAGTTTAGCACTGTGAGGAAATACCTGTGCCTGTATTTACTGAGCTACCAGAGATTGATGTTGAATCCCTCAGTTTACCTGCTTTTACAGATGATGATGATGCTCAGATCGAATATACACCATCTGATACAGATTGTGATAAAATGTCTCTGTTTAGTCAGCCTGAATTGAATGATCTTATAAGAGATTTGTATTTGCCAAAGCAGTCTGCTGAATTGTTGGCTTCCAGGCTACAAGAGAAAGGACTACTCAGACCTGGCACTAGTGTCTCCTTTTATTGACAGTAGTAAAAGGAGTTTGAAATGTGTGTTACTTCACAACGGAAATATATATGGTTCAATCCCAATAGGACACTGTAAAAATGAATGAAGAGTATGCCAACATCAAGATTGTTCTGGATAGATTGGAATACCATGTTCATGGATGGCTAATTTCTGTTGATTTGAAAATGGTTAATTTTCTGCTGGGTCAGCAAGGAGGTCACACCAAATACCCTTGTTTCCTGTGCTACTGGGACAGTAGGACTACATTAGAACACTGGGTTAAAAAGATCTGGCCACCAAGAATCAGTTTGACGCCTGGTGACAAGAACATTAAGAATGAGCCTCTGGTTGATAGGAATAAAATTGTATTTCCCCCACTGCACATAAAACTTGCGTTAATGAAGCAATTCGTCAAAGCTCTTGATCACACTGGAGACTGCTTCAGCTATATATGTTCAACCTTTTCAAGTCTTTTATAAGGGCACCCCGTGGTGCCCTTATAAAACTCAACGTTTAACCTACTCACGCCGACTTATGCCCGCCCTCACAGTCGGCCATATTTGCGGAATACACCACGTCGCCGTTGACCCTGGCCATTGACCGAGCAACCCAAAGTTCCTACCAGCTCCCTCCGTAGGAATGTGTTTACCCTGCCCTAACAATGAGGGTGGAGGAGCGATGTACACATCAGTTAGTGGAGCAACTGAAACCACCTCGTTCTGTCCAATGACCTGATGACTAGTGTTCCACAATTACATGCCCTCAATTTGCACCTAGCCTCGCACAAGCATTTTGACCATGTCACCACCAATTAGTGGAATGACTGTTCTGTTTATATTATCTGTTATTGATCCATTTGAAATGTATATGTAATTGTGTGTCTGTATAGGTAGCGGTGATTGCATTATGAAAATCCCGATTAGAGTTTTATTGCCAACAGCAAACATGACAACTAAACGTATTGTGGGCCTCCGCTGAGTTGATTGATCCTCAATCTAATTGGTGAAGTGAGGAATCAGTAGTGATCAGATGGTGGCCTGGCACGGTTCTGCCCACACCACCACATTGTTCACAATGGCAGTGTGTGAGATTGTAACGTTTGTTTTAATTGTAAAGTATTTTGATTCTAACATGGTGGTTTAATCAAAACCATAGGGATGTTTGTCTCCCTGGAACTTTTTTTTATCAGCATGGAAACAGGATAAGAACATGGCACATATCGAGCTGAAGTTACATCTGTTCCTCGGAGCATTCAAGCAATTCTAAGCCTGGCTTCACACCTACTTTACTAGGCCTTCCAGGCATATTTATTGCAATTTGCCACTCCCACTGTGTGCCTGAACAGCCAGTGTGGTGAATTAGAGAAGCTTTTTCAATATATCATGAATATATGAATGTGTAGATGTGTAAGTTATGTGTGACTGTGTATATATGCATGCCTGTGTGCCATGATGCTGGCTTAGATGGTGTGGATATTTAAATTAGCTATGCCGTTAACTCTCCCTCTGCCACTTTACTCTGCAGAATTGGTCTGATGGAAGAAAGACACTCAACACAGCTCAGTACAAAAAACCACCAGTGTGACCAGTGTCCTTACAGCACGGATCACACTGGAAACTTGAAGCAGCACCAGAGAACACACACAGGAGAGAAACCCTTCCAGTGCACTGTGTGTGAGAAGGCATTTGTACGGTCATCACTTCTTCAAACCCACCAGAGAACACACACAGGAGAGAAACCCTTCAAGTGCACTCTGTGTGGGAAGGCATTTGCACAGTCATCAATTCTTCAGACCCACCAGAGAACACACACAGGAGAGAAACCCTTCAAGTGCACTCTTTGCGGGAGCGCATTTTCACAGTCATCTGCTCTTGTAACACACCAGAGAACACACACAGGAGAGAAACCCTTCAAGTGCACTCTGTGCCGGAAGGCGTTTGCACAGTCATCAATTCTTCAGACCCACCAGAGAACACACACAGGAGAGAAACCCTTCAAGTGCACTCTGTGCGGGAATGCGTTTTCACAGTCATCTGCGCTTGTAATACACCAGAGAACACACACAGGAGAGAAACCCTTCAAGTGCAGTCTGTGCCAGAAGGCGTTTGGACAGTCATCAAATCTTAAAACACACCAGAGAACACACGCAACAGAAAATCTACAAGAAGTGGAGTCTAAAATCGGCTTGTGAAAGTAAAAGTGCTGCAATGAGCCCATCCCTCATGAAACAAGAACCAGAAGAAAATCACCACTTTGGCACTTTGAAAGGTATCAAGGTGAACTATGAAGAAGCGAATGTGAAATGTGAAGAAGTGACAGTGAAGGTTAAATTTGAAGATGATTCAACTCCAAAATCGGGCCTTCACATCGATGGAGGCAGCATGAAGCAGGAACAGAATTCTGACTCTGAGGCAAAGCGAGGCAACTCCCAGCAGTTTGTGGATGTGGAGGTGTGGGTGGACTTCTTCGACAATACAAAGTCAAATGTAGACCAGGTAGGTATGCACGCTTGAGACAATGAAGCTCCAATATATTCACATTTGTCACAGGCCTTTAATGAAAAATAATGTGAGGTTGAACACTCAATTCCTAGATTCAACCTGCAGAGTTTGAGCGGCCAGTATTTGGACCTGTGGGTTGGGTAGATCTCTAACCAGGAGCGACTCAGTATTTTGTATCATATCTCATCTTACACACTGGAAGGGCACCCCCAAGTGGCAGCTGCCACTGTGTGCCACAAGGTGACCCTGCACTGGCCTGCATATGGACATATAGTTTGTAAGTAGGGGGTAATGATTGATATGCCAGTTGGATTTAGACCTTGAACCTCTGCAACAAATAGAGAATGTACTACCCCTTGGCTTCCCTGAATATCGGAATGCTGCAGATATAGGACTCATCTAGTCAGAGATCAACTTGTAAATACGATGCAAGGAGATGCAGTACAATTCACTGTCGTAATGATATGTCAATGTGCCTATCAATAATTTAGAATAATAATTGTATGAATACTTGTCTGATTTAGAACGTAAATGCAACGTTGTGTATTAATGTCAAACATAGAATATGTGATGTCAGGACATAGTATCTGTTTTGGTAGTAACCTGTGCAGATAATTCGTGTGAGAGCAGTTTCTTTGTGATTCAGTAAGAATTTGCCCCTGGTCAACTCATTGTCTTAAAAATAGGGAACATAGACGGATCATTCATCAGTTACAAGTCATACAAATTTCAAGTTACGTATAGGAGATACATTCTCCACAACAACACTAATTCTAATTTTGTATTACGTTTTTTATAGCTTTTGTCGAACTGATCTTGAAATGCACCTTGCTGATTAACATTCGTTGAAGCAAGCCCGAATACTGTTGACACTACACCAAAACCGGTCCATAGATGGCTTGCACTGAATCAGTGCAGCAGACATGCCCTCCCAGAAGGCCGTGGTATTTATATTTTGTGTAAAACATTCCTTTGTTTCGTTAGAGACCGATGAATGAAAGATGTTAGCTGTTTTTCTTAGCAAGGAGATAATATTAAGAGCACATTTGAATGCACCACGGGTTTTTTTGTTACAGATTTGTATTCTAGCCTAGGTTTTATTGAATTATAATCTGTTTAAATAAAAGTTATATTAATGTGTCCATTGATGTCCCACCTTGTTCACCACTATGTTTACTTAAATATGTAGAAGCTCCCACGAGTGGGTTACGTCAGGCCCTCCCTCTAGCTTGTGACGTCACCAGAATCTAACGACTGCACGGTGTCTTGGAATGCATTTGCACAGAAATCACATCTTCACAACTGCCAGGGAACACACATTAAAAACCACTTAAAATACACTTGGAACGCCTTTTAAATTGTTTTGAAACTGAAACGCGTATAAGGAGGTGTACAAGGAGCAGTCTGAAATTGACGTGTGAAATTCGAAGTTCCATAAGCCCATCTTTTGTGATGCAAGGACCAGAAGAAGATGGCAGCTAAGAAACGTTACCATTTGTGAAGGTGACCTGTGAAGGCTCTCGGGTTTGACTTCCAGGTCGTTAATGGAGCCCGAGACAAATCCCAGCCATTTGTGGATGTGGAGGTTTAGGAGGACTTTTTGGACTGTAACGTAGGAGAGCAGCCAGTATATGTGACCATAAGTGTTGGGTCGATCTGTAACCAAGAGCATGAGACACGGACACTCCAGAGCATGCACCTTAGGATATTAATATTAGCATTTATATGGCACTTGCTTATTTGCCTAAGCAACTTAAAGTGGCTTGTATCATATCTCATGTCAAACAGTCGATGGCCACCCCCATGGTTTAACTGTCCTTGTGCTGCGCAAGTTGGCTAAGTAACGGTCTGTAAGTGGACATTCGTCAACCAGGTAGGGATCGATGATTGGTGTGTAATCTCGGGTGGGTAGCTTTTGGATACTTTGTGCAAATTTGGTAAATGTTAACAATTACACCAGCACGAAATATTTTAATGACATCGGAGGAATTTTAACATCCACTTTGAAGCAGATGGTGCATATTCTTTTTAGGCTAATCTAGCCGCAGTCATAACCAGAGCTGCTTGTCGGATTGAACCTTGAACCTCTTCAAAGGGAGATAACTTTTACAATTCATGACCTGAAAAAACACTTCCTGAACAAATCCTCTTTCATCATGTTTTGTACCTTGCTCAACTACACCGCTTCCATAGCCACCATCATAATGAATTTATTCTCAAACTGACCCAAATGAACTAAAGACGGCCGATTACTAATATTCCTAATGAACTCTCACTTCCTCCTGATAATCCAGCTAATCTATGAAATCCATGTCCAGATTTTTACATTACCATTTTGCAACGTGGCGACTCGCCATGCAGGACTGGCCTGCAACACCGCTGTTATTGTATTTGTTTCTCGTATAGTTTGCCTTCGTCTGTCTGATTACTTCGCCTCAATCTGGAGCTTAATCTATGCAGGCACAATACACTGCACTATGAATCAAAAGCACTACACTACTTGTACTGTTTCTGTGTGTACAGCCAGCAGGTGGGATGTACAGTAGGCTTGCACAGAAACCTGCCATTATGTAAAATTCAAAAAGTAATGTCAGGCTAAGACCAATTAAATCAGACTCAAAAGGGATTAAAAACAAAAGGGCAGTAGGCACGCCCAACATTAAACATGTTTTTGCATTATGAAAATGCAATTGTAACAAGTGTTAAACCTAATATAAATCTTAACTTAAAGCTTTCGTGACTGCAGGAATTAATTTTCTTTGGGTCTTTTGGTAAAGCCACGTAGATAGAAAAATAATACAATTATCACGACGTTTCGATCGCAACACAAGCAATTGTCATTAGGTGAAAAATATAGCGAGAGAGCTGCCGAGGCAGGAGAAAATACAGCGGGAGAGCTGCTGAAACACAAAGTTATATAGGCTTGAGATGGGCTCAGCCCAAGGGTAAGTGGGCGGGGCTAGAGGTGGAATTTGTATGTAAATGTAAGATCGGTGATGTACCTCTACGACGACGACGCAGCTGTGGAGGTGGCCATTGTATTGTGAGAGATTAGCATCTCAATGTAAACGAACCAACGCAACGGTGGCTGTGCTAGTGAGACATCCAGCTTGTTAGAAAACGAGGGACAACACCACATCGATGAAAGGAGCAACGGTGGCTGTTAGTCATTTAGCGTGTATGTAACTCAGAGAGATGGAAATAACTGCTAGCATCGGCAGGTAGGATGGAAACATCACAGCCAGTTATAACTTAAAATGGTTAATAACGTCCTTCCAATGATTGCTCAGTTTGTATCCATCTTCTCGGTTGAAATTGTGTCTGTTAAAATATCTGGATGGCTTCATGAACGAATCTTTGTTGATAGCCAGTGGGCTTTCAGAGTACCTTTGTCTTGAAAAAATCAATTGTGTGTGTGCCCACAGCGTTGAAACAATAATCAGCCACGGCTGAAGTATTAGTTCTACCGTGTTTCAGATCTGCCTTATGTTCACGAACACAGTCCGACATATGTCGCTTAGTTTCCCCAATGTATCTACTGCCGCAGCCACAGCTTAGCTTTGTAGACCACCGGGGTATTGCCTGCCAGGGATCACATCCTTCACAGATGGGATCAGATCACGCATTTTATGTACTGCGTTGAATCGAACCTGGATCTTGTGTTTGCTCATGATTTTGGAAATCTTTTTGGTAACACCTGCTATGTATGGCAAGGTGATGGTTTTGATTGGGTCCTCAGATGGTTTTTTCCCAACGGTTTGGGTGATAGCTTTAAGGATTGTGTAGTCTGAATATCCATTCATCTTGAGGGCTTGGTGTACGTGTTCCAGTTCACTGGCTCGGTGGTGATGGTCGGAAATATAACGAGCTCTATTGTGTAGAGTTTTGATGAAGGGATGGATGGTGGTGGGAGTCAGGTTTTAGGTAGGCATCCGTATGGTTGGCTTTCCTGTAGACAGAGTGTCCCATTGAGACATCTGCTCTTTTTTCGATTAACACATCCAAGAATGGTAACTTGCCATCCTTTTCCACCTCCATGGTGAATGTGATGGCTGGGTGTATGGAATTTATGTGGTTGAAGAATTGGTCCAGAGCTGGTAGGCCATGTGGCCAGATGACGAACGTATCATCTACATATCTCTTCCACAAGGAAGGACGGAGGGTGGATGCCTGGATGGCATCTGTCTCAAATTTCTCCATGAAAACATTGGCTTGAACTGGAGATAAATGATAACTCATTGGGGTACCTTCAACTTGTTTGTAGAATGTTCCATTCCAGGTGAAGTAAGTGTTGGTGAGGCAGTGTCTATCCAGGGCCGGTACATCAGCATTCAGTCCTTGTTGGACCAAATCTTAAATGATTGCAATGGTGTCAGGCACAGGAACTTTGGTAAACAGAAATACCACATCGAATCTGACACACAAATCACCTGGAGATAGTGAGATGTCTTTAATTTAAGATATCAAGTGAGCTGAGTTAAGTACAACACAGTACATAACATTCATGATTTCATCCCATCTGTGAAGGATGTGATCCCTGACATGCAATACTCCGGTGTCAATAAACTAAGCTATGTCTGCAGCAGCTATTACATTGCGGAAACTAAGCGACATGTCTCGGACCGGGTTCGTGAACATAAGGCAGATCTGAAACACGGTAGGACCAATACCTCAGCTGTGCCTGATCATTATATTAACGCTGTGGACACACGAAATTGATTTTGCCAAGACGAGGGTACTCTGCAAGCCCACTGGCTATCAGCAAAATTCGTTCATGAAGCCATCCAGATATATATCAAAACACAGACACGATTTCAACCGAGAAGATGGGTACAAACTGAGCAATCATTGGAAGGACGTTATTAACCCGTTTATGTCATAACTGGCTGTGATGTTCCCTGCCTACTTACCCATGTTAGTAGTTATTTCCAACTCTCTGAGTTAAATTCATTAACACAGGCACCGTTAGCTGTATTAGTAAATGGCGGCTTGCCATCCATTTCCACCTCCATGTGGCGATGCTCTTGCCGAGCTCTCTCCGAGCTTACATTTACATGCTAATCCCTCACAATACAATGGCCACCCCCACAGCTTCGTTTGTCAACATATACCCGATCTTACATTTGCATGCAAATTTCATCTCTAGCCCCTCCCACTGACCCTTGGGCTACACCCATCCCAAACCTTTATAACTCTTTACCATAGCAGTGCTCCCACCATATAATCTCAGCAGCTCTCCCGCGATATTTCTCACTTGATGACGAATGCTTGTGTTGCGATCGAAACGTCGTGATGTTTATTATTTTGTATTATTTTTTTCTATGTGACTTTACCGAAAGACCCAAAGAATATGAATTCCTGCAGTTACGAAAGCTTTAAGTCAAGATTTAACCTTGTCACCATCTAACTTTTTAATATGTGGATCTGGCTTATTCTTGGACAGGAGGTTGAACTTGCAAATCAGGTTATCTTTGCATTTATCTGACATTGAGCCGGCTGAAGAAGCTGTCATGCTATCTACATGGTCCGAATCTGATGTAGAAAATTTTCTGTCAATGTTAAGTGTGATTGCAAGAGAGTCTTGTCTAAATTGTCTTGTTCAAATCGGAGAAATCTTATTATCTCTGAGATCAGGGCTAAGCCGGCCCTGAACAAGATTCGTTTAGCATTAGGATAAGTGACAGTAGCAGATGTCAGTGTAAAGTTGATTGGTATTACCTTAGTGTCGCGGCATTTCTTCAGAAAAGTGAGCGACTCGATCAGATGAGCCTTCTTGTCTCGAAGTCTGTTAAAATATCTAATAGTTGTGTGGAAACCCTCCCCGTAGAGGCGGTTAAATCTTGACTAAAAGCTTTCGTGACTGCAGGAATTCATATTCTTTGGGTCTTTGGGTAAAGCCATGTAGATAGAAAAATAATAAAGTTATCACGACGTTTCGATCGCAACACAAGCAATCTTCATCAGGTGAAAAATTATAGCGAGAGAGCTTCTGGTAAGACCTCAGCTGTACTTAACTCAGCTCACTTGGTATCGCTAATTAGGGACTTCTCACTATCTTCAGGTGATTTGCTTGTGAGTTTCGATGTAG